AATTTGCCTCGTAAAACTTAAGATTTGGTAATAAAAGCTAAAAAACTAAAAGACCCCACACTGTCCTTCTGAAATTCCTGGTAAAATCCTCCTATACACTGACGGGAGGGGAGCACAGGCATAATGTACTAAGTACATTAATGATATTAGTGTACCTAGTAAACAGCAAATTCTTTGTGTTTCACAGCCAGGTCCAGGTCAGGTGTACGGCAGGGGGATTTATTCCACCCCGTACATCGCTGTGGCTGAAGCGTATGCTCACCACTTCACCTCCCAGAAGGATGGAAAGAGGTACAAGGTGATCCTGCAGAATCGGATTAACCCCAAGTACAGAAAGAAGTACAACAACCAGCGATACTGGCTCATCCCGATTAAAAGTGGCCTGTCACATTACGAAGAAGAGGAGATGGTGAAACGGGCAATTCGGCCATACGGCCTTCTTCTGAAACAGGTTTAGAAGAGAAGGAAAAACCAAAGAAGCCCACAAATGTGTTCTGGTATTTCTTTCAATTTGATTTACATGAAATGATCAGGGTGATGGCTCTTTCTGGAGGCATTATGCTTTCTAATGGTGAAACCAGATTATGTAAAGTGCTAATAACACATTTAAATGGCCCTGCATAAAATATATTTATTTGTGTACTTGCTCAGATAGTTAACATGTGACCTGCAGTAGGACTGTGTAGCTCATTATCTGTTCTGACACATGACATTGACTATAACAGCTAGTTAAATATAGATAGATTTATTTACAACAAATTTGCCAACATGACAAATTCTATTGCAGTCTGTGTGTTTGCTCAGGAAGTCAGTCACAGCATCGTTAGAAAAAAAAAAACAGTTCTCATGAGTTTAAGATATATTAACAGAACAAAACGAAGGACTTTTTGGCAAAGATTTCCATGAAATAAAACATTTTGACAAGTGTTTGTCGTCATGAATCTGAGCCCTGCTCCACCAATTGGGTATTATTCCACCTCACTCTGCCTGAATCTCTACCTCCAATCAGACTCTCACTCTCCACTTCCCCTTTCCCCTTAATCGATAAATATCAACTTCTGGTGTTCGCCAATGCATCTGGTTCTTCTGTTTCATACCTGACATTTGTAGGATTAAGTGCAGAGAGAGTAGGGGGCCTGCTTCACATGGATGCTCACACTGGACCGGAGAAACTCTAACATGTGGTGCACATAAAGATTTGGAGGATAATAGAACTCCACGTCTGCTCTGTGGAACAATTAGATACATTTACTAAGTCCCTAATTGGATAAGAAACGTGTGAGAACATTTCTCTGAATAAAAGGGAAGAAGAGGCTCCAAAATCAAGGTGTTATGGCAAACAAATAAAAGAAGAGCTTGAAGAGAGGAGGAAGTGGTGTTACAAATATTATTCATCAATAGTATGAAAAACACCCATCTTCCAGAGAAATGGTCTGAATTTTAGACAAGACAAGTTTATTCGTATAGCACATTTCCGGTGCAAGACTATAAAAAAAAAAAAACTAAAAGCAGAAAAAGAAAGAAAGAAAAATAATCAAGCAAAAGTGATGGGTGCAGATAAAATACATCCAATGTCCATCTGCAGAGTTAAACAGAACCGTTAGCAGCCTGGATTTTGCACAAATAGATGGATTTTTTTCACACCTGATAGGGGTTTAAAATCCTTAAATAGGCTGCATTCAGCCATTTCTGCTCCAAAAAGTAGCAGTCCACCTACATGGTTGGATTTGATGGACTGACTTTTTTGTTTGGAGCTCTTAAAGAGCTCA